ATTCAGACTAGGGCTTGAACCACCGACCAACACGGCAGTCAATTCGAGTGAGTGAACAAATCACCCACGCCGAACCGCTTGGCTACCGACCGACTTGGCTACTAGTATTATAGATAATGATCATGCATACATTGAAGAAAAAAACAACGTTTCAAAAAGATGGTGTTGGTCCGCAGAAGGTTCTCATAAAATGTTCGTTATCGTTCCAAAGACGTTTCAGCTAGATAAATTGTGACAATCTAGGTCTTTTGACTTGAGCTCTCCGGATTGTTTTGGTGGAGACACATAAGAAATGAAGGGTTTTGCTCTTCGTCTGATACTTGCGAAAATGAATTATCTCTTCATGTCGCGAAGTGACTTCGCAAATGCTTCAAAATGTATGATGATTTGAAAAAAAAGTGGTATTATTTCACTAAGGTTGATGGATAGCATTACCAGCATCTACTCGACTGTCATAATGATTTCCTGAGGATGCTAACTTGTTCTGGTGTTGAGAAAATGTTTTTCAATATATTCTGTGTCCTGATCAGTCGCAATTATTCGAAAAGAACAGCCTCCTACATGTGTCTGACCAAGATTTCTGCCTCAGTGCTTCAAGCCAGCTTGTCTTGTAGTGTGAGAGTAGAGAGGGTATCATTCCACCAAGGACTCCGATTACTATTATTATTTTTATTATTGCCACATGTGACTGTGTATCAAAGACGTCGGCTGATAGCATGAAAACTGCTTCGATAAATCAATAAATGTATTCGCAGTGATGAGTTGAGAGGTTATTCAATACTTTGAATTCTTTAATATATGATCAGATAAAATTTATAAATAACATTCAATTTTTTTCATAATCACAGAATCGAAGGTCAAGGTTTCCAACTCTTTCTTGATTATGATTATGTGGAAAACTGCTTTTGCTTCTCAAGGATCTTGAATGAGATATCTGTGGCGTGAATCTTCAATTGAAAAATGAATAAGTATACAGGCTCATTTCAAACATTTATTGTTTTCATTTTCAGTACACATTATTCATATTTGTAAACAAACTGAATATATTCAAAAATTTTGAAACCACTTACAGTAAGTATACTCATTAGATCACAATTGAATAAGAAATAATACTAATGATTCTATTATACATTCAGGATATCTTGTATTTCTAATATACTTTTTCCCCTTGTTTCAGGCATGGCACAGTAAATGAATACAAAATTCAAAATACACATTCCTCCTATTCCAAAGAAGTTCCAAGCAAGTCCAAAATTTGCCATAATTACCGGAAACAAAAATAGGGTCAAGCCAATTACTATAAAGTTGGTTGATATAACTATTGATGTTGCCAAAGATTTCACGTTATTTGGAAAAACTTCACTTACGAAAACCATTGGTACATTACCCAACCCAATAACAAAGAAAATGAAGAATATAACTAAACTCAACACTGGTAACCACCCGAGAGACTCAGTAATGGAAGGAATATATGATTTCATTTTAAAAAATAGACTGATTGCAAACATCGGTATTCCGCAGAGAATTGAGGAAGTGAGCATCAGTTGTCTTCTGCCAAATTTTTCTACAATCATGGATGCAACAATACAACCAATAACTTGAACTAGTGCTACCGTGATAGTACTCACAAATCCAGATATATTGGTTCCCGCTTCTTGGAAAATGAGATCCAGGAATGCTATTATAGAAGGTGCCCCTGTCAGTGAAAATGAAAACATCACTGCAGCAATGATGAAAGCCTTCCTCGAAGCCCTATTCTTCACCAGATAAACTAGTCCTTTCTCTTCAGACTTCATATTCTGCATCAAAGTAAATTGAATCATTTCAATTTCTTTCTCGATTTCTTTCAAACTTTTATTTCTTAATTCAGTCAAAGCCTTTTTAGCATTTTCTACATCTCCTTTAGATAACAGATAAACTGGTGATTCAGGTAAAATTATTGAAAAACAAAAAAAGTATATAAAACTGGGAATAGAACACATAAGCGAAAATACTTTGACTGAGAAGAAAGGACCTAGAACAAACGCCAATAAATTTCCCAGTGGCAATGATAGTCCAATGAAGCAAATGAACTTTGATCTGTTGTGATCTTCTGTTATTTCACTGCAATACAATGTTGTTCCAGCTGTTCCTACTCCTAGTGCTAGACCTATGGCCACCATCGATGCATAGTAAAAGTAGATGTTGGTGGAAAATGCAAGAATTATGTAAGAAACTGCCAGCAACGAAGATAGTGCAATCATTATTTTTTTCCGTCCGTAAATATCAAAACAGCTCCCCAATAACATTAGCCCACTTATAGCACCTAACGAAGGAAAAGATCCGATAAATGATAATTGAAGTGTAGTAACTGGTTTTCCTAAGGGGTTAATGATTGGATCAGAAGACAGCAGTTTCAGAGAGACAGGAGAAGTCCATGTTACTGCCATGCCAGTCGTGAGAGGTAGCAAGTTAACTGAAAGAAAGAAATAAGGTCATCTAGCGTATATACTTTTCTGTTAGCGTTTTTCTACAAATTTGAAACATATTAGCTTTGGTTAGACACGATATATCACTTCG